TTATATGGAGCTGTCTCTGAACTCTATATATCTAATATCTAACACAGTATACATAGAATAGAAAATGGAAAAATATAACAATAGTCTAAGTATGTACATTATAGAGATAGAAGTAAATGTATGTTGCAGTATGTGACCGACAGAAGTGTAATGAATACATAATTAGTGGATTACTGACAAATGTAATGTGATCGATTCCTTAGACGACTGCAGGTATTAGTGACATTAATAAAGCCAGAGTATTAGCCACAGTGGGGGTAGGGAGTTTATCATTTCCTGGGGTGGCCGATTAAAATAATAGTTTGGGGCATAAATTAAGAGTATACCCACTTCTTAAGGCACCACCACACCAGTGGGCAGCAGGATGTTGTCAGTAGATTCCCCTCAGGACAGCTGCAGGTTGTCAGGATGCAGGACAAAAAGCGTTGGAGCTGTTCTGATGGAAAGGTTTGATCTTAATCACATTGTGCTAAATGAATCAGTGTTTCCATTATTCTGTCCACCCCCTGTGCACACCACCACAAGGCCACATTGTATCCAGCCTCGCTATAGGGAACCCTCCATCAACACATGGCAGGCAGAATTTATCGAGCGGCAGCCAATCAGAGCGCTCCTTTTAGGGCGAGCCTCCGCCGCGCTCGGCCAATGGGAGACGCGGAACAGGACCCGTGCCTCCGAGTTGTGCAGCGATGCAGTCACGTGACGCTGGGAAAAGGAATGCCAACATGGACCCGTGGCAAGGACGGGATGTGAGTGTGCTCCGACAATAACACGACGGAGGAAAACAGAAAACAGAAAATACAAGAAGCCATCGACGGCGCTGCTCTTCTCCAGCGAGCCTCCCCCGAACCACACACGGTAGGTCGAGCCAAATGTCCGGGATCGCGCTGCTCAGGCGATCCGGAGGAGGAACGTTATAAATAGAACCTTTTTCTTTTGACCCAGCCGAACTTGAGACTCGTGGATTCCTGTGCAGACGCAGTTGTGTTCAGGCGGATTGTCGTGTTGTCGAGCGCTCCTGCTTTACAAACACACAAATGCAGTAATCTGTGACAGGGCGATCGTTGGCCCGGGGTTAGTTCTCCGCTCGGCACGGTTATGGGC